TATATTCTTGATCAGGGTCACTAGCCGAGTCGATATAGCCATGTCCGTCTGTCCGTCTGTCTGTCCGTCTGTCCGTCTGTCCGTCTGTCTGTCCGTCTGTCTGTCCGTATGAACGCTGAGATCTCGGAAACTATAAAAGCTAGAAGATTGGCATTTTGCATGCAGATTCTAGGAGTTCCTACGCAGCGCAAGTTTGTTTCAAAAAGGTGCCACGCCCCCTTTAACGCCCACAATCGCTTATATACGATTTTAAAAATTTAAATATTTCGGAAAAGTAAAAATGCAGTTTTATTGTGTTTATCAATACCTATCGAAATGTAGAAGAACTTTTTCAAGTCGGACCATTCGTTAAAAAGTTATGCGTGATCAAAGTTTCTATCTCCATCTCCCTCGCACTCCCTTTACCTGAGTAACGGGTATCTGATAGTCGGGGCACCCGACAATAGCGTTCTCTCTTGTTAGACATAAAAACAAACTAAACGGTTTTATTAAGTAATATACTTTATAGCGCTTTATAAAATAAGCTTTATCTTAATAAATAGATTCTTCTTTAAGACAATATTTTAAATAAAAAAATTCTGATATAGCTGGTAAAATTGTAGTTACTAATAAAAAGATAAAACAAATTGAGTAATAACTTATATAAGTATGTATATATTAAAGATATGGTATAATATTCATGTTATTGTGATCAAGTGATCTAACATAATAATCAATTCCTGCATTTGGAAACTTTCTTACTTCTGTATTAGATCATTATACTAATTGGTATAGCATTTTTTTTCTGTGCACCTCTTACTGCCCCCTTAAATCGCCACCCCCTAGCCTGTAATTCGGAACAAGTTGCAAGTCGCCGCCGCAACGCTAACAAAGCCACTCGACGACTGAAAAAATGTGGCCAAGCGAAGTGTTGATGATGGCGGGGAAGGTTTCTTTTTTTCCGGAGGGGGTTTTCTGTTTTCATTGGGGGGAGGGTCTGCGGACGGGGGGGTGGTGATGCTGCTGCAGAAGAGAGAGCGGCAGATTGGCTAACTGGCAATTTGAAGACTACGGCAAGGCGACCAGTTGCAGAACTGCTTCTGATGCTGGATGCCGAATGTCGAATGCTGCCTTCTCGCATGACAAGTGGCCCGCAACTAAATCGTTGCAACAGCAACAATTACACTAAAAAACAGGGTTTTGTATAGAAAAATTATGATTTGTTATAGGCAGTTATAACTTAACAAAAAATTTTGATGTATTTTTGTTTTCACTTAATTAATTTGGTTTATTTATAGACTTTCTCTCCGGGCCAGTTTTTATGATACAATTATACTGTCCAGAAATTTTTAAAAATGTTTAGTGTATTATTACAATATGTAAAATGAGATTAAGAAAATCCTCAATTTTCCCAATTGCTTTTCACCTTTGTGCTCTAATCTCAAAAAAGAATTTATTTTTTTGTGTAGAGCAGCAGCTGAAAACAAGCTTTGGTAGAAAGACGGAGGCCAAGTCCCGACTTCCACTCGCTCAGTTATTCCTGCACGGGTTTTCTTTGTTTTTCCCCAGCTCTTTTGTGCATTTCAATTTATTGCTGCAGAACAACAACTCAAGAGTAGTGTGCTAGTGGCACCACCCACCCAAAAATCTGCTCCCCCTCTTAAAACAAACTGGCCTTTTTCCTGAAGCGAAATTGTTTTTGGTTAAAAATAACATTTGATGCTAGCAATTGAAATTATGCGTATGCCTGCTGCAAAAATATTTCGAATGCAGCGCCATCTGTTGTCGGAGTGACCTGAATTTTGGGGTGATGTGATCTACGGGCAGTTGGCTTACAAAATATTTTTATGGAGTGCTCCCCTTAGTTCGTATGATGTGCATGTAAACTTTTTGTTTTGATTTAAGAAATATTAGAGTTCACTTGAAAATCTATAAGTATAAGGGAAATGGGAATTATTATTATTTTAAATTTTGAAATCATCCATTTTTTATTTAAAGCAAGAAAAAACAAAATTCCAAATCCTTCTTAAAATTATCTTAACATTATTTTTATTCAAGTTTCAATCTTTCTAAAACAAATATCTTTTTTATTACATAAAGCAATAAAGTCTGACGTCGAAAAGCTTCTTTTTTGCGTATCTAGTAAGTAGCCCTGGCGCTATTCACTACACTATTCAAGGCACAATTAATGAGCTACCAAATGCATCCAACTCAAAGCGAGTAAACAAAGCAGTCGAGGAAAGACAAGACTCCCCCAATTTCCAACTATTAGTTGCAAGGGAACAGGTTGCTTTGGCGCTGGACCAAAATTGCCCAAATTCCGATGGCGTTTCAATCAATAGAGGGGAATCACGTGAACTTTGAACTGACCTAGCCAACAAAAAGCCAGAGAGAAAATGGCAGAAACGCCGAGAAAAATTGAGAAAAGGGAAACGAATCGAAGCGAATTGAAAACGGTGCACGAAAAGTGCAACAAGAGGCATGCAACAAGGGAAAGGTAAACACACGGACGAAAAGATGCAAAGATACAGATATGCTCGAAATAATAGTGCACTAACCACTAAGCTGCTCGAAATAATAGTGCACTAACCACTAAGCTAAGTTTTTTTTTTCATAAAATAAATATTACATGTTATTTTAATTGATAACAAATGTTTCAAAATCAACAGAAATTATAATTATAATATATAATTTATACCTAAAAACTATAAATATATATTATTTTAAATGAAACAAACAAATTATCTTTTATTTGTCGATAACAATAACATTTGAGTTTATATAGTATTAAAAATATTTTATTTGTGCCCATAATTGTTTGGCTATGAAGCCTTTAACTTTGTTTGCACTGCTATTATCTTGAACTCCCCTGTACATCTCTCGTACATTTGGGGCATTTTTGGCGTGGCACTCGAGAGGCAATTGGAGGCGGGTGAAGTAATAAAAAAAAACGGCAATACTATATGTCTATATATATATGGTATATATTGATTTACGCAACGATATACATCGCTTTTTGTGTGAAAGATACAATGCTGCTGAAATATTGAAATCAATTGCAGGTCTCTTTTTCGGGTTTTTTAAGCGTTTTACTGTTTTTTTTTCTTATTTTTATTTTGATTAATTGGCAATGGCCAATGCAAATGCTGTTGGCCTTTTGGCTGGGGCACAGATACAGATACAGAGCCACAGATACAGTTGCATTGTCAACGTTCCAAAACAGCCCCAGCAGCGTATGGCATACAATTTAAAAATGTATCCAAGAGATACATTACACATTACGGCCATGGCTTGCCAAGTCTTGACTTGGAAATTCCCTTCACTGCATTCTTTCCCACACCAGAGCCAGACAAAAGAGCAGAGAAACGTATATATGTATATGGAGAGGTGGGCTTTGGGGGGGCTCTATAGATACTTTTCGGGCCTTTGGTCTTTGCTAGTTTTGGTTAGTTGACTGCAGGGCTTACAAGTCACCCCGCTTCCTCGTATCCCCGTATCTCTATCTTGTTCTCAGACTGAGACTGAGTCGTCGCCGTAGTCATTCGCATTGTCGTAAATTTTATTAGAGTGTAGTGTAGCATCGTCATCATCATCGCGTTCATGATGATGCGACCTAACACAATTCTTACTTAGTTTGCATTTTAGCTTATGGCTTTTGTGTTTTACTCGCTCCAAAAATAAAAGAAGCGAAAAATACAGAAAATAAACGAAAAAAAAAATACAAACAGCCATAAAACGTTTCGCATTTCAAAGGCCACACATTATTATTATTTTCAGCTATTACTTTGGGGTATTTCTCAAAAGTTTTCAATTTATTTTTTGTGTGTTGAAAACTGATACGACAGTGACTTGGCGCTCTGAGTTATTGCCTTAACACAAATGCTTGTGCTTGAGGTTTCCAATTACATTTCATTTTAAAAATTCGCTTTGTCAAAGTTCAAAATGTTATCAAGGACCGAAAATCTCCTTGGAGGTTATCATTAAACAATTATGTTGCGTCTGAGTTTTTCGGAATGGGAGCTCAGATTCAAATGATGAGTTCGTTGCCCATCCAAAGGTTTATTTTTATTTTGTTCAGCTTATAGAGGTTCATTAGTTGCAGAAGTAATAGTATTTAGTTTAGTAAATAATTTATAGCTATGTGTCAATATTAATTTGAGGTGTATTAATATAGTAATATTTATATAAATACCTAGGTTTATTTGTATCTATTCCTTTAAGCCAACAATTTATATAATTTGTATATGATTAAGAAAAATCGAAATGACCTTCTAAGTGAGTAAATTTCTAAATAAATGCCAAGCTTTTTTGTTTTTCTCCTCTCAAATGTGATTTTTAAATTTTGTTTCAAGTCCAATTATAAAAATTATTCACCAGAAATGCAAATTACACAGTAAAATTCGGTGAATCGTGATTTTCCGCAAAGTCAACAAATGTATAGAAAAACTGTTGAAAAACTTTTCAAATTTCGGGCAACATAATAGAATTATCAATAATTGCACAGCGAAAACTATTTCAGAAAATCAATTTGAAAATGGCTGAAACTGGCTGAAACTGGGGAAAATCAAAATATGCAAAACCGGGAAATCACACAAAATTGCCAACTCAAATAGCTTTCGACATATTTCTTAAGAGCGGCGCTCTTTAGCTGTGGCTAACTCTCTTTCTGCTTAACTAAAATGCACTGAGAGGAATGCCGGTTTTTGGGCGAGAATGTGTGTGTGCGAGTTGTATCTGTGTGGGCTACTACGCTGCGGTGACGGTCGTTCGTTCGCTTTTGTATCTCTCAGATAAATCGCTCTTACCCGCCAGTGTGTAGTAAATATTCCGCTCAGCTGTGCTGCGGGTCTGTTTTTTTTTTGTGTACATTTTTTTTTTTTGTTTTTACTCACCCAACAACAAATGACATATGCGGGACCCCTGAGCGAAAAGTATCTTCCAGTACCGCCTTCCAGTTTTGAGATACTTTTCGGGTTCCAATGAGAACGGACTTCGGGCTTCGCGCGAGTCGTGCGGTGATTCGTATCGGCGGCTGCTGGCAGTCCGATATTAACTCTCAAACTGTACGGTTTGGCAGCGCAGCTGAAAAGCGGAAAACTGAAGAGGAAAAGCGGCGAAGAGGGGATCGAGGAAGGGCAGCGCGTCGTGTGTTTTCATCCTCCTTCTGCAATAAACAATTGTTGTTCTACAAGTTTAAACAATTAAAAGTGAGTGTGGGAAAAGTGCAGCGAAAAAGCGAAGAAATTGAGTTTTAGCCACACCAAAAAAATATATAAACCTATTTAGAAAAAAACAGCACAAAAACACTAACTAAACATTTAAAACCTAAAAGTTACCACTACAAAAAATTTTAAAGACAATTAAAAAATGTTATTTTAATCGTGAAAATTGGCTTCAAAAACAAATTTAAAAAAACCCTCACCAATAAATTACATTTTTGAAATATCAACTTAATACTACAAATTACCACCACTTTTTATTATATGCCCTGACATCCTGTTCCTTTGTGCAAAAAAAAATACTTTGTAATAATCAAAAAAACATAACAATCACCATAATCATAAATAATAACAACAATTTCGTGTGACGTTTTAGTTAATTCTCGCAAAAGAGAATGAAAAAGGAAAAAATAAACAAAAAAACAGAAAGCAACCACTTTTTTCAATTGTAATTTCCGGTGTAGCGGAATTTCACTGTGCATTGTGTGGCACCGTGTGTGTGAACGGGTGTGGGAGAGAGAATCAAAAAAGAAAAGAAAGAAAATCAGAAAAAAACATAAACAGCCCAGAACAACGTGCTCGTGTGTGTGTGAATAAGAAAACTGAACCCTATAAAAAAAAAACAGTTCTAAGAAATGTGCAAAAAAGGCCTTTGGCTTATTGAATTTATAGCTGACTTTTGTCTCTTTTGGCCCACATTGAGGTTACATAAAGATCCACAAATATATTCTGCCCCCAAAGCAAGGGGGTCATCTTAAAAAATGTCTAAAATCTAATTATCTAAACAACTTTGTCTGGCAATGTTTATACTTTGTCTGTTTATATGCAGTTAATTTTTCGCTTGCCAATTTAAACAAATTCAAAATTGTATGCAAAAACGAAAAGTTATAGCTCGTTTAATAATGCAAATTCGAGTAATTAGAATTTAAATGGATTTTTTAATAAGCATATTGCAGTTTCTAGCGAGCTGCATTACTTAACAGTTACTTGGAATTTTAGCAAAGCTTAACTAATAATTCAAAGGAATTCTCATTCTTATTATCTTCTTGATGTTAGTACTTGTAAATTGTTTGATTTCTGTGGAATCTTTTTCTCTTTTTTAGTTCCCATTTTCAACTTATTTTACCTGTTAGGCTTAACAATCAGAAGCAATTACCGATTTAATCCAATCAATTATCTGAGATACGCCTTCAACTTTAATTAGCTTAACAAAGTTTAAGCCGAAGAAATATGACCTACAACTGACCTAACCCAATCTCAGTTTGCTGCAGCCAATTTTCATTTGTGCCTGCAGAACTCAAACTCAGATATCATGCAGATACCTTCACTAAGCTGCCCAACAATTGGCTAAGAAAACTTTCCAACAGTCAGAAACTTCAAGGCCGCAAAACTTTGATTAAACATAAACCAAACCCAAGGAAAATAAAATGCAAAAAAGGTCAAAGGCAAGCAGCCCCTGGTTCAGAAATTTCCACTATCCGAAAGTCAGCTAATTAACATGGAAAATTTCGCCCGAATATATCGTTTACTTATGGTGAACTTTTCGATGGAGGTGGGGGCGGCGCCATAAGTTTCTCGAATTTATAGAGTTGAAAGCTTTCTATCGATAGATAAATATGGCGAGAAACAGATACAAGTACTTGTAGATACAAAGAAACAGCCACAAACAACCAGCACTCCCGAAGCGGTATAATAAACAATTAAAAATTATTTACTTGCTGCTATTGAATTATAAACAAGTGATTCCCGTGTAACCTCATTTTGGGTCGGAAACAGAAAGCGTATACCTAATGCATCATTCTATATTTCAGTCTGTGGGCTAAAGTGCAATACACAAATCGAACACTGAAGCATTCCAATTAAACTTACAATCAAAGTGCAATACAAATAAATCCAGCTAAAAATTAACGAGAAGCTGTGTTCACAAGTAGATTTGCACAAACAAAGCAAAACTAAACTAATAAAAACGAATAAAATTAACTCTTTTACCAGCAAACCATTATATACACATAACAAATACGAATAAACTTAATAAGCATTTAATAAAACAATAAAAAGTTTGTGCAATTTAAATAATAATAATAATCATATACAAAAACTAAAACCTTAAAAAGGTTAAAGATTTTTGCTAAATACACTTTATAAACTCTAAATAGCTAAATTGTTATAAAATAAAATCACAAATAAAATACATTTTTAAAAACTACCAGTTTTTTACCAAATTATTAAGCTGAAAAAATATGAAAACAACTTTAAATGCATTTTGCTAAAACGGATTACGTTTAAAATACTAGCTGCAGATTTTTCATCATTGTAAGTATGATAAAAATATGAAAATTAATAATTGTATTCTTAAAAAAAACTTTATAAATCCAAAAACGTTAAATCTTTGCTGCAATTGGGGTTTTATATTTTAACTTTTTGTATAGAAACGAAATATTGTTCTCTTCAACGAAAATCTGTAATTTTATCGCCAACTTAATATTTGGCTAACATCAATAATAGCACTCAATGGACTTAAACTCATTTGAGCTTAAACTGACTCATTTTATTTGGTTGTCAGGGTTTCCAGCTTCATTTTGCTAAGTGGGTCAACGAATTTTCACTTGTTTGCCTAGGAGATGTACCATTATATTAGAAAAAAAATATATAAATAGTGAACCCCCTCTTGTCAGAGTGCTTTTCACATAAGAGGCTTACTAGACAAACAAAATCCCCATCAAATAAATTTAACTCAATTGCCCAAACATTCCCCAATGGCTGAGCGTTGATTGTAGGTTGTTGATGATGTCGTTATTATTGTTGTTGAGGTTTACGTGTAAACTTTTATCTGTGCTTAGATTTTTGACATACAAATTTATTGTTTATGCCCATGATAACAACAAAGAACATGCAATTTTGTAATTATTAATTTTACGGTCTGTTTGACTTTACCCACAATATGTACGTGTGAATTTGAGGAGTTTGTTTGGCGAAAGGCTGGTGTAAGAGTACCCTGCACAAGTGCAGCGTCTAACTGTTGATCATTTCCGCTCAGTTTCGGCCAAAAAAACTGTCCAACTGTGTCGCAGGTCGCTGAACTTTTTTAGCGGCCCAAGTTGCGTGTTTGCTTAGGCCCAAAAATCCCACCGTCGCTTTATTCCGGTTATTGACTTTCAACTCATTCCGCTTCTTCGTCTTCATCTCTTTTATCTGTTCGGCCCACACACACACACACTTGTCCATCAGCGTTCTGAACCTAATTTCCTTTTCGGTTTTGGGTGTGTTCGCCACCTGTAAATATGGGAAAAGAGGGAACAGAAATTAACATAATCAAATTTACTTTTTCACTCTGCGAACACGTTTCGTGTCCGAAATAAGAAAAAGTGAAGACCATTTTTTTTAATTTTGGTGTCAGTCGGCGCAATGCCCCAACGAATGGCATTGAAGTATTGACAAACTGAGGGTTATTTACACCTGCCAATCGGCTTGACAAGGTGAGCTCAATGGAGGTCTATATACAGATTATGCCACGAGTGCCAATTTAAAAGGGTTCGTGATGTTGTTTATAGTTTTGGGGTTTTGATTGAGAAGGTATTTATTTAATTTTAAAAATTTTAGGAGAGGTCCTTACAGCTAAATCAATCTTATTTACCTACACTTTAAATCGACAATGAAACTCAACCTCAGTCAATGAAATCAATCGTGACATATTTATTATTTGTATTTGTTTTACTCAAAAGCCTTGATCATAAAAATATACATCATTGTAATCCATTTATTAGCTAGCTTTTATTTATTTGCCAATTTTTTATTTCAAATTTAAATTACTGATTTTTCCCACTATGCCCCTGAGATCTAAGCCTTCCATTTCATTTTTGATTTTTCTTAAAGTTTGAACCTTTTATCCAAATTTAAAGATGAGCCCGCTTAACATAAATTGTGGCCTTGTGGCACAATTTCCGTGGAAATCGAAGATGGGATCGATTTGCGAGCGACGGTCTCCTAGAATCAGATGTATATCCCAGGAGCATTATCTTTGGGTACAGAGAAACAAATTTGAAATACTGAAATTGGCCAAAATGGTTGGATGCCACCCTGAGGATATAGATGGATTCCTTTTCGAACTTAGCCTGGAGAACTTCAGCCGTCAATTAAACCCCAAGGGATGTGGCTGGGATGCCTGCAATGTGCCCCTTTGTTATCCCCATATATGTGGTCGGTACATGAGCATATTCGATCATCGAGGCAACTTGAGGTGTCCCAACCATTCCGAGGGTCTTTATAAGTTACTTTCGTTACTGCTGGATTTTTTGAATGGCGATTCGCCCGAAGGCCAAAGAGATTCACCAACTTACAAGGTGCGACCTGACGGCCATCCAGCGAACCGCCATTCGAAATCTGTGAAGGTTTTGAGACCAGATTCAGAGTCCAGCGATGACGAAAGTCTACCACCCATAAAATGGAGCTTAACCAATACAAGGGTTCCAAGGACGAGAGAATCCATTCATCATGAATCCCAGCCGGTGCAAGAACAGAAGCCAGACTTAGAATCTCAGGAGGATTTAGGAAAGAAAAAACAAAACAAAAAATTTGGACGACAGACAGTTTTTCTTAACGATGAACTTGCCTTGGCCTTTGCCAAGCCAAACGATATTGTGGAGTATCTAATGAAAATATTAGGCCGACATCGGAGTAGGGATAGCTATATAGGTCCTGTGGGCGATCTGAGAACAAAACGTATTCGCATTCTAATCAGGAACCTGGTTAAAAGGAAGGGAACCCACATTACTAATCATGATTTGAGGCAGGCCTTATATAAAGTAGATCTTGAGTGGAAATCGACTGCAAAAGCTGATTATATGCGTGAGATGAAAACCGCCAAAGAAATTTCAAATCTTTACAACGTCATTGTGCAGAGACCTTCTCAAGAACCCATACCGCCCGTTCTTGGAGAAGTTTGGGATAGCTACCCAAAGATTCCAAGCGGCTCAAGACTCCCCAGAAAGTATTTGGCCGATCAAGTCCCGGTGCTATTCCATGAGCCCTACGATCCAGAAAAGAATTGGACCTGGCAACGTCGACATCCAAAACAAAGCCGTCTTAATTCCCAAAACAAAATCTCTCAATCAAGGATCAAGCGATATATACGAACTTCTGTAAAGAGTCAAATTAGGAGAGTTGAAGATCAGTATTCCATACACTCGACAATCAGTGATAATAGTAAATCAGCTAACCGAGAGTCACTGGAACCCCAGTTCGGAGGTGTTAAAAAATAATTAATTTGAAAATGCCAAAATTATATTTTGTGAAGTATACTCAATAAATCCGTCATGTTAAATTATGATGTTATCTCTATCTATTTTTTAAACTTGGTTTTTCCAAAATCTCAGCTTGCCAAGGAATATGTTTTGTTTTGTTTTTTTAAATATCATTCAAAATCATTGCCCTAGCCGGGCAACTACAAAATTTCGTAGTATTTTAAATCCCCTATTTTCGGAACACTAAGACGGTCAGGTCACAATGAATTCCTGCTGCTGCCGATCGCATAGCGATCGCACGGATCCGATGGCCTGCCTTCCGCAGTTTCCTCGTCTCCAGCGGGTCCAAAGTTGTAGGCCATTCTTGGAGGGCCGCAAGTCGGCCAGCTGCTGTATGTCGAGCGAACGGCGATGGGGTCAGAGGAACGGGGTAATGGTCGAATTGCTGGCCAAGATGGTGGACAAATCGGCCAACACGGTCTGCCAGTTTCTGCACCAACTGACCCTGCAGCTCTTCGCGAGGATTCTCTATCCCTTGATGGCTGGTTGGAATACGCTCAAGATACCATTTGTTTTGCCCGATACCTGTGAGCTTTACTACGGGATATTCGATGAATGTGGTAACCTGAGAAAGCCCATGCCGACTAGGACATTCGTTATCCTCATAACCATTTTGCAGTACTTTCTGAACCTGCCAACGCAAAGGGTATGCCGGGGAAAGAACAAATGTACAGCTTGTAAGAATAAGGATAATATGATCAAACACCTACACAATCCCGGTTATTGTGGCAAAGATGCCATGACTCCATTTTCTGGACGTAGGACCACTGAAAAGGCACCATCACCGAGAAGTGAAGTTTGGGCAGGACTCAGGCGATTGGGGTATGAAAGGTCAGGTGGTCTTGATCTAGATAGTTATCCCTCGGATGAGTCAATACCCTATGGTTATGCTCCTTCCCGGTGTCCTTGCCAGGCCAGAGATCCCGCGGTTGCGAGGGCTCAGTGGTCCAGACGAGGAACTCCAAGTCCATATGCCAATATCCAGGATCCCATGGAATTAGAAAGTGCCTGCGAGAGGGTACTGCGAAGTCCCATGTTAGCTCCTGAATGCAGTCAAACATCTCCAGTGGCATCCCTTTCCCCAGAAGCAGCTCAACTTTATCACATTACCCAAATCTCGAATCTATATACTGCAGTTGTAGAAAACCGGCATTCAAGAATATTACTTGGAAGTGGAAAGCCGCCAAAGCAAAGGGTAATTCCCTGCACTGAGAAGAGATTCTCCGGCGGTTTCATGATGCCCGAACCCTACTTCAATGGCATGCCCTGGAGTTGGCTGCACAGGGATCCGCAAAAAATGATGCGACTTCCAAGTGGAGGACTACCATTGGAAATCCCACGTTATAGACGACAACCTTTGGATGAGGAATACCATAGTTTTAGAAGTAGATATGAGGACATGAGTAGACAGGTTAACCCCTTCAAAGAAGGCGCTCCCTCGCCTGTTGATAAATATCCAACAGCAAATAGATTTACCCCTGAAAAAAGCCTCCAATCTATTAGCTGGAAGGAAAGAACCCTAGATCCGAAAGATCAATTTTTCTTACCCACTAGTGGAAGACGAATTCCGGTTGAAGAAAAAAAGAATATGGAGTGGGAGGAGCTGTTATTAAAGAGAGTTAATCAGCCTAGGAAAACTCAGGGTGCCTTAGATTACTGGAAAGAGATGATGGAAAGACATCAGTTGAAGATCGATCAAGCAAGAAATAACACTTTGAGCATACGGAGCTTAATGGTTGAGAAAAATAATAGTTTCCCGAGTTCAGTAAGACAAACAACTGAAAGAAAACTTTGGATAATAAAAGCATATCGCAATCGTGGGGATAGTGTAGCGCCGCAGAATAGAATAAAACCTATAAATAGTGAGAGACTAATTCAGAAATTAAAGGATTCAATCGGGCAAGACAACGAATCCTCAGAAATAAAAACAAGACAAGCCAGGAACAAGTCAGTAGATGATGTACTCCGATTGGTAAAGAGAGATGATGAAAATAATGGTGGACATAAGTATCCCGATCCCGAGGATTACAGAAAAGAAATGGCTAGAAATCGACGTTATCAAAGGAAAACTGCCGGAGAAAGTATCTTGCTTATAAAGACTGCAGAAAGTATTGTACGAAAACGTGGATTTATTAAGTTAAATGAGACCAAACAGCCATTAACAAGACAAGAAGATAAATCATGCTTAAGGAAACCATTACTGAAGAAAATGTGTATTGAACACAACAAGCCTATCGATAAGAGGGTGCGATTTCTTTTTCACAAAAATCCTAGCTTGGAAAGGGTAAAGCCAGTAGAAAATCTAAAAACGAAAATCAGACGGACTTTCTTTTTACCAGGAGGTGGCGATCAACTACCAAAGCAGTATAGTAAGCCCCATGAAGGTGGTCCCAAAATTAAAAAGTTGTCAAGTGCTAATGATGATAGAAAAATAATATTTAAGCCTAGAAGGGGAAAGTCGCCGGAAAAAATTACCAGAAAAAATCCATTTCATTCAGATGACTCTTCAAAGGATAAATCACAAGCTTCAAATCTAAATCCACAGAAGAAATATCATGGCAATCCGAAAACGAAACCCAATAAATGCCTTGAAAGAAGTTGCGGATTACCATCCAAAATATTTGATTTAACAGAAGTGGAAACCTTAAGGCGCAAGCGAAGAAAGCCATTAAGCTCTATGTTATGAAAGCTCTACTCATTTAATTAGCATATTAATATTTTTTTAATACCTACCTAATTTATCTTAAATCCACATGAGCCATATAGTGAATTAATGTTATTTCGCTGCACAAATTGTATATAAATCAGGGGCCTGACCGCCTATTAAATTTTGGTTTAAACTGTGGTTTTGTTTCGTTTTTGGTAGAAACATCACCAGCCATCAAATTTTAGCAAAAAGAGGTGTCCACCTGCGCTGATTGAATGCCGCAACATAGCAGCATAGCATTTCATTTGGGCCTAGACTACCGTTGATAATAATGACGATGATGCGGCTGATGCTGCGGGACTCTGCTTAAAAGCTTTCCCTTTAAACCTTTCTACTGGCCACAGTTGAGTTGGCTTAAAATTTTCCCTTTTCAGTCAGTTTATTTATTTTCGTGTATTTTTGAGGCTGATTTTTGGCTCATTTTGACGCGTTTACTGTACTTTGGGGTCTCCCTCCTCCTAAAACGCTGTGTGTGTGTGTGTGTAAGAGCTAGAGGCCATAAGCCAAAAGGCAAACGTTTTGTGGGCAGAACGCAATTTTCCCGTTAAAGCCGAGGAGCGAATTGTAACAAGTGCCTCTCACTTTGTTGGCCCCTGGGTGGGCCTATAAACTTGGTCGGTTGAGGGGTTCGGTTTGAAGACGAAAAAGATTAGATATTCATACGAGATTTAAGTAACGGAGAACCCGAAGGTTTCTGTATAAATTTTAAATAAATTGTGGAAATTAGCAGCTGGAAAATGATTTTCAGAGTGGGTAACTCTGTTTAATAGGGAAATGGTATTTATTTACTTATACCGTTTAGGGATCTTTAAAGAATGTTAATTGCAATTTGTTGATTATAGAGATGCCAAAAGATTGAAATAATAAAACTATTATAGTGTAAGTACTTGTGATTTTTATTTTTGTTGAGCAACGTAATCGACCCAACTTGAGTACCAAATTTCATCATCATAGCACCCTCAGAACCCGAGTTACTTGAGGTTACGCCACCCTAAGCTTCCCCTTACCAGCATCCTTTTGTTGGGACCACATTTCCCGCACCCTGTTTCACTCTATATCATGGCCTCTTGCTCGCACTGTCGCCATAGTGCTTATCAGTCTGATGTGACTGTGATGATAATAATTCAGAGTCAAATATCTCGCGACGTCTAGTGGCCAAGTCATGATTTATGGCATTCCATTCGAGACTTAAACAATACGATAATTATTTATTAGAGTGGAGCCCCTTCTGCAATCCCACGAGTACTTTGTGAGCGCTGCAAACATACAAATATGTGTATATAAATAATAAGTTTTTGTTTGGCTGCAATGACTTTGCCCAGTTACAGTACCCCCGAGCCCCTCATGCGGCAATTTATAATGTTGAGTGCCAAGCAGTTAGGAGGGATCCTCCGTATATACGTTTGTACATTACTCTATAAACGCTCCCATATATACGTACATATATCGGGAGTACGGAGAGTAGACAGACTAGAGTCGCCCTGACAAAACCAGTTGGAAATGGCCTGGCAAACGGAATTTATTGCAATGGAGTGCTGAAAACTAAATCATCATCTTCAAACCAGATCCAGTCCGAGGGATATCCAGATGGGGGCCAGAACAATTGATACACTCTCTACCAGCTCATTTAATATTTATGCGCATTTAGCCGGGCACTTTTTCAATGCGAATTCTGTATATGTTGTTGTTGTTGTTGGGAAATAGTTTCAGTTGGCCCATGCGTAAATATGCGCAAAATAAATACATTTTTTATCTCCGTTTTATTATTTTTGGCTCTGCTGTTAGGCATAAATTATGCACATTCGAGGGAAATATTTAACGCCTTTCATATATATTTGAGAAAACCCAGCAAAAACCTCAAGCAGGCATATATAAAATAAAAGTAAATTGGTTGTCCGGCTTTGGTTTCCCCAACATCCGTATCCGCAGCATTTTGTTTTCCCATTTTTTTTCTCTTTTCCTTTTTTTTCCTATATATATATAATATTTTTTTGTGCGATTTTCCTTTTACTCGTGTCGAGTCGTTCAAGCTGTGGCATAATTTTTACGCATTTGCTTGGACCCCCCGGCAGAAGTGTTGATAAAAAAAAAAAAAATTGGAAAGGGGACGATAGAGCAGGGTGGGCGTGGCACACGCACAGACTTCCTGCTTGAACTACTACAAAAAAATAAATAATAAAGAAAAATGCTGGAGCCGAGCGGAAAGTTAAACAATTCATGGTCGAAGCTTTATGCTTTATACGCAAAACTTTGGGCTTTGATTTCGGATGTCAAAGCAGCTCCACTCTGTTCGGTTTTCTTTTGGGTGTGGAAGAACGCTTATCTATGCCAGCTACCACGACGCACATCACCGAACTACATAATGTTTGCATGCCCTGTGGATCGAAGGAGTATATTGAAATAGATGGTGGACTAAGCTTCGAAAAGGGTTAACAAAGAGACAATCTTTGTTGCCTAATCCCAAAAGTTTCAGTGGTTCGTTGTATTGAACCAAAATAAATACATCTACTCTTTGCTTTTATTTCTAATACATATCAAATATTGTGACATAATCTTTTAGCACAAATTAAAGATTTGTAAAATAAAAAGATCGAAAATTTTATTATTTTTAGTCAAACAAATTTGCAACATTTTTAATTTAAATAAAATATAAAGTAATTTTATAATATTTGTTACACTTCCAAAAAAAAACATATTATTATCATTTTTAAAAATAATTCTGTAACTCTGTTGTCTGCTCAAAAGCCACATTCGCCCACTCTATTATTTTATTAGATTAGTTAATTTCGGTAAGGGTAATTTTTGGTTCGTCCTAAACGAATTAACAGATCGCACATTTCTGCTTGTTTTATGTTTATTTGTTTGGGGCCGCGACGTTTGCCAAAAACCAAGGCTGTCTGTCTATATATCTGCTATGTCCCTGCCGCCTCTTTTCCACCACTTTGGGCGCCCTCGCCTGCTATCTCCCTCTGACCGGCTCTAGCCATCTCTTTCGCCTCGTGCAAGCTCGTTTTGTGTGAGGCCAAAATCCACTTAAATCGATAAAAACTATCAAATCTGTGCGGGGCGTGTGCCTTACTTGTCGGTTTTATATATTCTTTTTTTTTCTGTTCTCCCCATTTTTGTTGGGTACTCATCCTCGTCCTCCCTTCTCCATTGGAGTCTGAAGCCGGAGCTTCGTCACTCATACGCCATGAGCGCCGTCTCCAGCGTCGTCGCCACTCATTTTTCGCCCATGTTGCGTATGTTGTCAAGTCTCTTCCGTTCGCTGCCGCTCACTGAAACAGTGTTTGTTTCTCTCCGTGTATGTGTTAGCCTTTTTTCTTGGCATCGGCCACCGAAATTGTGCTTCAGCATTATTGTTGTTGTTGCCGCTCGCATGTCCGTTTTGGCATGGACTTGGCCAAAACTCATTGTTTGGGGAATCCCCCCTAACCGTCTCCGTTCCCCTTTTCGATTTTCCTCTTCTTTTTTTTTGGGGTGGTTTGGTTAGGCAGCAGCAGCATTTCCGTTCTTTGCCACTGTTGTCAAGCAGCTAAGACACACACTATCGCACACATGTGTGAGTTTATAGGCGCCGGAATTTGAGGAAATTTACCCCCTAAACGGACCCAACCCAAGACTCCAAATGAGATATGTGGCCCTTCTCAAAACTATAATGCTAAATGACAAAATATGACAAATTATAATAAAAAAGAAGCGCCGTGAAAAAAAAAACATTTTTTTTATATGTATATTCGCTGAACGAATTTTATGACATTTGTCATGGAAATCTTTCCATTCGGCTGATTCGTCTTTTGTCTGGCCAATTTTGCGGTCGCCTCACATGATAGTCGGTTAGGCCTGCTCATCTACTTCCCGAAAAGCCTGCATTAATACAAAAATCACGCACTCGTAAATGCTCCTTTTATAGGCATTGCGTGTCGAGATTTTACAATGGCTGCGAAATAAAGAAATACTCGAAAAAAGATTAACAATAATCGCAGCTAATCATATTGTAATTATGTGTCGCACTGAGTGGACTAGTTCTTTTCATTGGGGAGATTACAGTTTTTACAATCTAATATTCTTGACTATAAAAATCAAAACTGTAACCAAAAAATGTAAATTATTTTCATGCAGTAAACAGTGTTTTAATCTTATCAACTCACAGCAGATATGTTGACTATTGTTTTTCAGAAAATGGTGCATATTTTTCATTCTGTTTTATTAGAATTTTACTTAAAAGCTCAAATTGTTTAACTTTATTTATTTTACAAACATTTTTCAATTATTTTTTGAATATAAAGTTTCCATTAACTTTTTTTACATTGTCAACTGCAGTCAAAAATAACTAAATTTACATGTTTCTAAAAAAACCAATTAAAGCTCCCAATAGTTCCAAGTTACCACAATAAAATAACTTATTCAAATCAGTTAAAAACAAAACAAAAACATTTAAAACAGCAGAAGTTGAAACCAAATTGAGACAGAAAGAAAAAGTTGATATTATTATTATCAAAAAATATAGACTAAACACAAAAAACAGTGCGCAACTTTACTGGAAAGTGTAGGAAAACCGGAGGTAAAGGGTTTGTTGGGGTAAATCCCCCTGGCAAAAAGTAGATCTCGGCTTTGGTTATAATTGGGGGAAAAACCTCACGCCGAGCAAAGTTTCCAATTAGAGAGCGAGTGGAGCAACAATTTTATTTTTTTATTTCCTTGTCGCTTGTCGGAAAAACCCAAGTTTGAAGTTTTTCCAGTTTTGGTTTTATTTATTTTATATATTTTCCCAGTGTTTGTGTGGGTGTTTTTTAATATATGTTTGGCCAAAGCAATTTGCTCACATGCCCCAAACTGGTACACGCAAACAAAAAACCGAACTTTATAAACTAATAAACTCTCCCGTCGAATGCAATTGCCACTCCCCTTTCACCCGCCTTTCACTCACGGAGTTTCGATTAAATTTTTGTTTAGGTATTTTTGCTGCAGTGGCTCCCTCCTAACTCAACAATCGGAAAATTGCTGTAGAAATTTTTGTGTGCTCCATAAATATTTCTCGAACATTTTTTGGGGTCTGCTATGTTATTTTTTTTGCATTGCATCGGTTGTCGTTGGCCATATGCAACTAGCAATTTCGGATATTTTCCCCAATCCCA